AACAATGCACGAACCGGCTTATGAAAAAAGTTACGTGAAGTTTCAGCTCAGCCCTCCCTAATGATGTTTGTATTTTCCGACCTGCGCAAAGAATGCTTGGTAGAAATTTTTCATTTTTCAATTTCACAAAGAAAATCGGATCGCATTCTGATTTAGGCTCTCATGATCCGTTGGCCCCCAACTTCATTGCTATGTAAGATGATGGGAGCGATGATTTATTATTGGCTGTCATTCCTTCTGGAGAGGAACAATCTTCTTCTTCCATATTAAAGTGACTTTCAGGCAAATCGATCAACCATAGATCACCCCGTAAGGCTGTCTGGTGATGTTAATAAAGCATTCTGTAATAAGAACTTTTTATGAGTTGTATTTATAGACGGTGAAAAACTCTATAATCTATTTCAGTTTTAACTGATGGGTGAAAATAAAGCTTGAAGTCATTATGCCATGGAATTTTACAATGTCAGGTGTAGAACACTCCCCCCCACTTTGTTTTTTAGAAATAAGAATTCATACACAACCTTGGGGTCTTATAGGAATTAAGAGTGGCTTCAGAAGTCAGGTTGGGTTTACAATACACCAAACTTGAAACCCTAACCAAAAGCAACACACTATAGAGCAATGGGTGGTATGAATCCAACCTCGGTATATTTGGAAACCAAAAAGTAGTTTTCTCTGTTTGGAATCTGGTAACAGCAAAGCAGGAGAAATATCTGCTTTGCTAAATGTAGCAAATCCTTGCTAGATCAGGAGGGTGTGGTTGTATAAACGGAAGATCTTCAGTCTTAGGGATTTAAATTGGATTCCTGGCTTCTGATTACGCCGAGTGATCCAGCCCATTGGGTAGGTTGATGATTTAACATAATGTCCCAGTGAATTAATGAATTAATTACCAATCGGGTTAAACGTGTTGTGTAAACACAAGTCAATCTGGGAACCCACTCAACTAAAACATTCCCACTGTGACTGAGTTATCATCCTAACTCAGTGGCTGGATTTTGAAAGAGTAAATGATACGATCCCAATTGAAGGTGGCTTGCCCATAAACTGTGGATAAATAATGTTGTGCTTAGCAAGATGTTGGAATATGGTTTCTGTAATCTGAAATTAGTACTGTACACCTGGGTAACAAGGTCTCGATGTCCAGCTTTGATGAAATTGTGGTTTATTTCTGAGCTTAAATTCAACTGAGCAGTTCCGACTATTCATTTGTGAACTAGTCTGTGATATGTATACAGGTTTTTCCTGGATTTGGAAAGTTTCTTACCCATATGTGTACATTTCCATTAAGGCAGGCTGGTGCGCTAGCTAAATTGCTTATACCAAGCCAGAAGAGCTGAGTTATTTGATGTTCTGATGGTACTGAATTAAATTGCTAAAGTGTAATCTCTACTATCTGTCACTTCTCCAGATCTTTTAAGTGCCGCTGATACCTTCCCGAAAATTTCAATCACTAGAGAGGGCCTGGCTTTGGAAATTATTGATGTCCTTAATATGGTAATACGTCATGGCAACAATGACATTTTTGTATAGATCTCGGCTTGTGTGGGTATTAAAGAAAATGAAATGGGAGATAAAGCAGTCAACAAGTCTTCCTCAAATCATTCAAAAAGCCTAAATACTTCGAAGATTAGAACACACACGTTCACAGTTCAGTCAAACAGCAACAGACAACACGGCTGTGGGAAGTGAAATGTGAAGGTTAAACGGCTAATGAGATTTGCAAGATAATTTCAGAATGATTCTTGCCTATTCAGGAGTAAATCCCAGTGGAGTTTGATGGTTCTCTGAGGAAAGTTGGAATAGAAGTGCAGCTTTAACTATGATTTCAACCTACTGATTAGTAACAGAAAAATCTTAAGGATGCATTTATCACCATTGCTCTGTAAACAAAATACTCTTTATCTTCCAGGTTAACTAACAGTTTAAGATTGATTAGCAAGGGACACATTCCAGTTTAACACAGGTTGTTCTCAACTTATAACCGTTTGAAGTTACAACGGCTCTGAAAAAATTGGCCTAAGACTGGTCCTCGCATTTAATGACTGTTGCAGCATTCCCCACGGAGATGTGATCAACATTCAGAGGCTTGGCAACCAGCGTGCATTTTCGACCGTTGCCACATTGTGGGACTGCCCTTTTGCAAACCTCCGTTGGCTTCCAACAAGCTAAGTTGATGGGGGGAGCTGAATTAGTGAAGTCTTTTGCTTCACAACTGTGGCAAAAAAAAAAAAAGTTCATGTATGTGACACGCTGAACCACAAACTAAGCAGAGGATTGCATTTGGACACGGTACATTAAAATGAGGCTGGTGCTGTCTGAACACGGCCATTTTGTGACCCAGCCTTCATATTCCTTCAGCATCTGCTGTCGAAGCAGCAGCTTCATTTTAGAAGGAACATGTGCTCCCCTCCAATGTTCTGGTACCCCAAATCCCAGTGCCGAGAGATGCTGGTTATTGGAGCAAGGCTGTTAATATAGACTAATTACCTCTCCCTTAATAGTAAGGGCTTCTTTTTTTTGGAAAGAATGCAGATTTTTTTTTTCCCGGGAACATCGGCCTTCAGAAATTCTTCCAAGAGCGAAAATCTATGTTTATGCTTTAACTCTGTGGTTTAGGCTGAGATCCATTGTCGAGTTATAGTCATATATATCAGGGGACAAAAATCTATGGTCTTTTATATATGGCTGAATTAAATCCCTCAATAATAAGCCATTCTGAGCAAACCCTATCAGGGCACTTTATCCATTTGTGTAAAAACATTTCTTATCACATCTTTTATGTTAAAAGAACAGCCGTTCTGCAATAAAACGGAATTTAACCATTAAAAACTGCAGTAAGGAGCTGCCGATTTTAACCAATTGCCATTTTCTGTTATTTATTTAAGATTTTTATTTTATTTATCCTATTTAAGAATTGCCCATCTGCCTTTGCTTTTGACTTTGGTTTCCTGTCATGTTTGCAAGGTGTTACCAATTTTCTATACAGGAAAGTTTTCTATACAGCAAGATACATGGTGGAGCTGCTGATTTAAAGCCTTCTGCTTTCAATGGAAATCTGCACCCATTTTAAATTAGCGCAAATGCTTAAGTTCTTCACACACACACACCTACACACTTAGAAGCTGCATGCTTACTGATGTGGTTTTAAGGCAGAAAAGAGGAAGGAAAAGCAGTTGTGAGATCCTGTGCTTATTTATTCACAAATAAGCTGTGTGCAGCTGAATGAAACTTGTGAACAGGTATCTAAAATCATCCCCTAAATGTTTTTTTTTCTTTTCTTTTCCAGGAAAAGTGTTTTCCAACAGTGCTCTCTAGTGGCACATCTTGAGATTATAAGGCAGAAAATAAAAAGAACTGAGCGGTGATTTACGGGAATGCCCGTCCCTATTCAATTTAAAAATGATTTGGAAAAGACACAGACCTGGAGAACATGTTCCTCAGAAATGGGTTGCCTTCCATCTCTCTTGCCTGTTCAATTGAACTTTTGGCTGAGTGGCATTTCAGTGGCCCGCTCTTAATTTTTACAAAATGAAACAGCCGCACTTCAAAGCAGAGAAGGGATAGGGCAGTGGTGGCGAACCTTTTAGAGACCGAGTGCCCAAACTGCAACCCCAAACCCACCTATGCATTGTCGGGTGCCGGGTGGGTGTGGCCCATTGGGTGGGCGTGGCCCATTGGGTGGGCGTGGCTGCGGTGGTAACGGCAGACTGGGTGGGACTAAAAAGTTCAATCAATCAATTCCAACTTTGCAAGATCTTTTTTTTTTCCCACAAGAAGTTGAAATTGACTCATTGCTTGAACATTTTTTTTTTTTGCACACGGCGGCGGAGGCCTAAAGCGAAAGGTTTTATAAAACCCAGCTGAAGGCCTAGGACTGGGGCGACGGCGCGCGTGCCCACAGAGAGGGCTCCGAGTGCCGCCTCTGGCACCCGTGCCATAGGTTCGCCACCACTGGGATAGGGGGTACTTCAACGTAATTTGTGATGTGCTTGAGATTACAATCATAGGGTAAGGATTAAAAATTATACTGAGGCAAAAACAATATATGATTTGCTTTTGGATTGCGCTGTCTTAGATTGCACTTTAATACTGCAGTCAACAATTTTCACAGAGCACGGCTCAACAATTGCGATCCAGTTTAGTCGGAAGCCATTATACCGACTTATGAGTTTAGTGATCAAAGTTACAACAGAACTGGAAAAAGTGACTAACGACTGTTGTTCACACTTACGGCCGTTGCAGCATCCTCACGGTCACGTGATCAAAATTCAGAGGCTTGGCAACTGACTCCTATTTATGACGGTTGCAGTGTCCTGGGATCTTGTGATCCCCTTTTGCGACCTTCTGGCAAGCAAACTCAAATGGGGGAAGCCAGATTCCCTTCACAACCCGTGTCACTAACTTAATAACTGCAGTGATTCACTTAACAAATGTGGCAAGAAAGGTCGTAAAATGGGTCAAAAGTCACTTCACCGTAATGGACATTTGGGGTTCAGTTGTGGTCGTTAAGTCGAGGACTACCTACACCTCTACATAATGATGAAATTCCATCATAAAGTATTGTGCTTTCTCTCTTTTTTGGGGGGAGGGGGTGTTTCCCAATTTGTATAGCAGTGGATCGGGGTGATAATGTAGAAGGCATACAACAGAACTTGGGGATGGAGTTAAAAGAGGGATCAGCCTAGAATCCTTACATAGCTACAAGGAGCTAAGTCTAACTCCCCTTGAATTTTGTTACCCCTTATCTAACTTCAAGCTGCTGCTGTTAATTGTGAAGATTCCTGTGCACAATAAAACTGTTTAACTGAATCTTCACACGTGGTGGACCTGGCCCTCCATGCCTGACAGATAACATTTACAGACTAGATTTCCCTCTCCTGTTTTTGTTTCTACCCGGCAAAAATCTCTTTAGCATTTTTATGCAGAAAAACTATATAAATGAAAAATTAAAAATAGTCCGCTGCACAATAAAAAAAAAAAAACCAGACAACTTTGCAGCCATAAAACTTGATCTCAGCTTTACTTTTCACAACTAACAACACAAGCCACGTTTAGAAGAAGAAAACAAAACTATTACAAGTTCCTTCCAATCAGTTCTGGTCTCAAAGTTATATCCATTTACATTCAGTGCTTTTTTCTGGTGGTGAGAGGGAAATAAAAGCTACGTAGTTAAGTGCACAGTATCTTTATGTCAACATTTAGATAAGGCAGGCACTGCTTCTGGATATTTACAACCAGAATCAGGCCCCTTTCGTAAATGACAAGAACAGAAGAGTGAAGAATCAAATTGTTCTCAAATTTACTTCCTGGAACTGTTTCCTTCTTGACTAAACACCCAAATAGTAAGAGTTTCCGCTTCTTTGCAACAATGTTTTGAAAGAGAAAGGTTATTTCTCAGAATGGAAATTCAAAACCCCCTTTCTCACATGCAACCTATGTAGAAATAACACCCCTTTCTTCAAACTGTCCTTTCACCCACCAGGCCTCACATTTTTCTGCTGTGTACAACACTGAAGGATGGGCTGGGAGGTCAGCAGGTGTCGCTGGGATCTACAAAGAGAAAAAGAACTGTTAAGTAGCTCACAATGTTTATGAAATTCGGGCTGCTTTCCAAGAGAACCTGTTGAGACTGAACTCAGCCAACAGGAGGCAACAAATGAAGTCACGGTGTGGACCCGGCGTCTCAGTACAAGCTGGTTTTCTTCATGATCCGCAGAAACTCCTGTTCATTGACTTCCCCATCGCCGTCTCGATCGGCTTCATCAATCATCTCCTGCAGCAGAAGCAAAGATCGAGGGGGCTAAGAGCGGGTCTATGGAAACAAAGATGACTTCAAAGAGCTGCTTACTGTTCCAATCTGACCTCAACGTAATCAGCTTTGTCCACTGGCTGACGTTGATTGATCTTTTCCCACTCATGCATTCCCACTTGTCCATTTACCAGACTTCAGCTTATTTAAAATGAGTTCAAACCATCACTGTTTATACAATCGCTTCGAAAAACAAATCAACACAATTTCCAACCTGAAGCTCCTCGTCCGTGAGATTCTCCCCCAGTTCTTTGGCCACGCGCTTAAGGTTTTTGAAAGAGATTTTGCCTGTTTCGTCGTCATCGAAGAGCTTAAACGCTTTCAGAATTTCTTCTTTTGAATCTTTTTCAGCCTTAAAAAAAAAAAGAGCAAGCCTTCAGACATGTTAAACAGCGTGAAACAAAAACAAATGGGGCAACGCTGTAGAGAGCTATGACCCATAATGACGTAGTGGTTAGAATGCAGCTGTATTGCAGGCTGACTCTGCCCAATGCCAGGAGTTCGATCCTGACCGGCTCAGGGTTGACTCAGCCTTCCATCCTTCCGAGGTCAGTAAAATGAGGACCCAGATTGTTGGGGGCAACAGGCTGACTCTGTAAGCTGCTTAGAGAGAGCTATAAAGCACTGTGGAGCGATATATAAGTCTAAGTGCTATTGCTATTAGGAGCCCTGGTGGTGCAGTGGTTAGAATGCAGTATTGCAGGCTAACTTTGCCCACAGTCTAGGGTTCGATCCTGATGGGGCTCAAGGTTGACTCAGCCTTCATTGCTTTTGAGGACTCAGATTGTTGGGGGCAATATGCTGACTCTGTAAACTGCTTAGAGAGGGCTGAAAAGCACTATATAAGTCTAAGTGCTATTGCTGTTTTAAAGCAGGTTCCGCCCTCAAAGCGGATTCCGCCGGAGATGGCTTTTAGTGCTCACATACAATCAAACACATCCTCATCATCCAATCAGAACAAGATTGTTGAAGAGCTGTTGACAGAAAAGACTTTAAACTTTCACTCTTTTCCAGTCTGCCTCACAAGTTGCATCGTTCTACCAGTCCCAGTTTGGTATCTGGAGTTACGACAGAACGCTACCAGGAGAAACCCCAGACGGCTTTCGAACTTTCTCAGAATTGCAGCATAAAAACAGCGCCTATCTCTATAGCCAGCAGAACATACCATCTTCTGGGTCATCACTCCTAGGAAGTCACTGAAGGTGATCTTTCCTGTCCCTTCCTTATCAATCTCAAGGATCATTTTCTTGATCTCGTCTTTCTTGGGCTCAAACCCAAGGGCCCTCATGGCGACCTGAAAACAATGAAAAGAGGCCGAGATAAGATTGGACTAGAAGACCGCCCGGGTCCCTTCCGGTCCTACGATGCTCTGGCTAAAATTACAGATCTCCTCTGAGAGGCCCACTAATGGAGCCGGCTCTCAGGTAATGAGAGCACCTCAGGGGTATTTGGTAGCTTGCCTTCAACTCTTTTACGTCAATGTTGCCAGTCCCATCGGTGTCAAAGAGATCAAAGGCCTCCCGAATCTCTTGCTTCTGCTCTTCGGTGAGTTCGGTTTTGGGAGCTGTTTTCTTCCTCTGAGCTACTGCTCCAAGGGACGCTTTCTTATAGCTGGAGGCCTGAGAGCATGGATGAAAGGCAGAAGAGAACATTAAAAGATATAACCCAGTTTTAGCTCTCTAGAGGGTTTCACTTCTGACTATTCCAGAGAGCCTGGCCCGACTTTGAAGAAGAGTTTCAAACACTTCTGCCTCTGAGGTCCCAATAGCTAAATTACTGTCTTTTTTTAAAAAAAAAAAAAAAGAAGAAAAAGTCCAATTTTTGGAATGTGAAGAGATGCACCATCCCGCAGATGTGATGCAAGTCTTGAATTATTATTTTTCGAACACATCCTAAATCAAATAGGTTTATTTATGTATTTGGTCTAGGAACACCCTGGTTTCCTTCACCCAATTCATACATATCTGGTTATAGTTGTGTAGGAGATATTCTTCCTAAAGATATTCCTTTAAAAAAGCTTAACCTTATTGGAATATTGTAATTAAAATTTAAAAATTAGGTAAAATTTAATACAGGATATGGATATGTATAAGCAAGAATATAATGATAAATGTTCTGAGCTTGTTATAATTAGAAATTTACTAGCTTAAGGGAAATAGAGAAGGAATTTTTTGATGTTGTAACCTGAGATATGTACTAAATATTTTGTTATTGTACTATTGACTACCCAATCACCATGCTGCTTTCCAAATATTTAAATGTAAAACTGGAAAACCAATAAAAACTTGTTTCATATATATAAAAAAGCTTAACCTTATGATTAAAATGACACTGTAGTCATATTGTATTTCCCAAGCTTTAAAAATATTACCAATTTTATTAGTGTTTATTCTCAGGAAAAAAAGCATTATGGCTGCAACTTAAAATGGAAAATGTTGATGCACTGATCTTATTGTAGGGAACATTTTGTTTTTAAGTCAACATATATCAGCACGGATATATTGGGGCTGCACTCAAGGAGATCCTCAAGCTGGTCAAAATAATCAAGATGAGAACGATGGTGCATAAAAGAGAGGGAGCTTTGATTGCAAAAGCATGGCCATCATCTTGACTTTTTTGACCACATCCCACAGGCAACTGTTATTACTTGACAGCATACAGGTAGTCCTCAACTTATAACAGTTCATTTAATGATCGTTTGAAGTTACAACAGTACTGGAAAAAGTGACTTGACCATTTTTCCCACTTACAACCGTTGCAGCATCCCCACGGTCATGTGATCAAAATGCAGACGCTTGGCAACTGGTTCATACTTATGACGGTTGCAGGGTCCCAGAGTCGTTTTGCGACCTTCCAACAGGCAAAGTCAACGGGGGAAGCCAGATTCACTTAACAACCGTGTGACTAAGTTAACAACTCCAGAGATTCACTTAACAAATGTGGCCAGAGGAGCCGCAAAACGGGGCAAAATTCATGTAACAAGTGTCTCACTTAGCAACAGAACTTCTGGGCTGAATCGTGGTCGTTAAGTTGAGGACAACCTGTACTCACATCGTTCAACAGGGTTGAACAAAATCAGAAAAGCAGTAAATCAAGGAAAGCAAATGATCCAGTTCCCCCCCCCCCCGGTGCTACTTTTCTATAGGTAAGATGCTCCTTTTTTGGTCAAGAACAGCCTCCCCAGAGCTGGCGGTGCTGTGGTCGTCTCCTGGCAACGGCGATGGGAATGCCTAGCCAACGTTTATTGGATCTTCCGGGAATGCCTGGCCAATGTTTATTGGATTTTCCAGTCTAGCCTGCCTGTCCCCCCCCTTGGGATCACTGGGTGGTCTCCTTTCCAGCGTCCATTTACCCCCTCTTGAGCTTTACAAGAGGTTTCCCCCACCCCATCCTCGCCGAAACTTCGAATTGGAGTTTCAAGGCACGACTCCACCCACCACCGCGTGTCCCTCGGAGAGTTCACACGTGCACGGGAAGCGGGAAGCCCGGGATGGGGCCGCCGAGTGGAGCAAGCGGCCGGGAAGGCAGGCGGGGAAAGCCTCCCGCCTCCCGATCCTTCAAAGGCGGCGCCAGATCCGCTTCGGATGCGCAAGGTGGCTCATTTGCATACATTAGCATAGGGAACGGATGCGAATTCAGGCCGTTAACGGCGATTTTGGCTCAATCGCGCCTCGCCTGGCTTCGCCGGCACTGCCGCCGCCTTCTCCCCACCTGCCTAACTGCCTTCCCCGGCCGCGAACCCCACTGACCATCCCCCGAAGCGGCGCCGGTCCCGAGGCCGCCCGTTGGGAAAAAGAGCCAGAGCTCAACCGTCGCCCAGCAGCCGGACGCTCACGGTCGCGCCTTCCGATTGGCTCCTCTCGCTACGCGCCGACTTCGGAACAGCCGCCCTCGCTATTGGCCGAACGGCGGGGCGCGCGAGAGACGCACTGGGAGGTGATTGGTGGCGACGTCGGAGGGCGGGGGTGGAGCCGACTTCGGCGGGGAGAGGACCCGATTGGCCACAAAGGCGGAAGAGCCAATTGGGCGAGCCTCTCCACTCTCGGCAGATGTTCACCCTAGGGGTGGGGTCGAAGGAGAGGGAGGGGCCGAGCGCTGCCGCGGGATTTGATTGGAGAAGCTCGGGGGGTGGGCGCGGTCTGCCTGCCAAGGACTATAAAAGCGAAGGGGCGTGGCTGTTAGGATGAATGGGACCCGCTGAGCGTGCTGGGTGGGCTTTCCTTGGATCTCTTCTTTGGATCGGTTCTGCTTTGGATTCCTGGGCAGGGAGATCCACGGGCGGCGTCAGAGACTTTCCCCTTGTCCGGGTCCTCGATTTTGGCTTTGCCTCACCGTTAAACCTGGGATATCCTTTTTTTAAACGAGAGGGAGGAACACCTTGGCAGCTTTGAGAAAAGCAGGTGAGGGATGACAGGGGATGGAGATAAATAAATAATAAATAATAATAATAAAGTTGGGAGGGACCTTGGAGGTCATCTAGTCCAACCCCCTGCTCAGGCAGGAAACCCTATACCATTTCGGACAAATGGCTGTCCAGTCTCTTCTTAAGAACTTCCAGTGTTGGAGCATTCACAGCTTCTGGAGGCAGGTTGTTCCACTGGTTAATTGTTCTCACTGTCAGGAAGTTTCTCCTTAGTTCCAGGTTGCTCCTCTCCTTGGTTAGTTTCCAGATGATGTGATGGAGATGACAAGGGACTCTTCTAGCTGTGATGTATTTTATTTATTAAATTTATATGCTACCCACCTCTCTACTGAAGCGACTCTAAGTGATTTAACTGATTAATAATAATAATAATAATAATAATAATAATAATAATAATAATAATAATAATAATAAATAATGATAAAGTTGGAAGGGACCTTAGAGGTCATCTAGTCCAACCCCCTGCTCAGGCAGGAAACCCTATACCCTTTTGGACAAATGGCTGTCCAGTTTCTTCTTAAAAACTTCTGGAGGCAGGTTGTTCCACTGGTTAATTGTTCTAACTGTCAGGAAGTTTCTCCTTAGTTCTAGGTTGCTTCTCTCCTTGACTAGTTTCCATCCGTTGCTTCTTGTCCTGCCTTCAGGCGCCTTGGAGAATAGCTTGACTCCCTCTTCTTTGGGGCAGCCCCTGAGATATTGGAAGACTGCTATTATGTCCCCACTCGTCCTTCTCTTCGTTAAACTAGACATACCCAATTCCAGCAGCCATTCCTTATATGTTTTAGCCTCCAGTCCCCTAATCATCTTTGTTGCTCTTCTCTGTACTCTTTCTAGAGTCTCAGCATCTTTTTTACATCCCGGTGACCAAAACTGGATGCAGTATTCCAAGTGTGGCCTTACCAAGGCATTGTAAAGTGGTATTAATGTGATCTTGATTCTATTCCTCTGTTAATATTCCATTTTCTTTAAAAAGGAGCCAGTTATGGAGATGGCTTATTAGACTAGCAAATTGATAACACAGAGCATTGTTATATGTCTTTGATATTTACTAACATGTCATGTCTGGCCGTTTGTAAACTGTACAGAGCTAGGGTGACATATACATTTTATTATAATAATAAAGTTGGAAGGGACCTTGAACATCATCTATTCCAACCCCCTGCTCAGGCAGGAAACCATATCATTTCAGAAAAATGGCTGTCCAGTCAATTGCTGTTGTTGTTGTTATTATTGTTGGTTGTCTATGGAGATTCTTGGTTATCCAGGTCATGGTTGTGTCAAAGGTGCTTTTTCAAAAGGCAACTTTTGAAATTAAAGGGGGGAAAAACGTAGCCCAGGTACTTTTTTAAAAAAGCACCTTTGAGACAGTTATGATTGGTTGCACACTCAGCCAGATGCTTAGACTGAATTTGGCCTGTTCATCTACCTATGGAGTCCTTTCCAAGGACCTGGGATAGGCAGCTATTGTTTGATGTGTTCAAGGTATTATTTGCAGGATATAAACTGTTCTAAATAAACCTACTTTTGCAATTGTCTGTTGGGGACCTTGCCAGTGCCAATGGTGTTCAAGTGGTGCTACAGTTAGTATTAATAGTAGTGGCTAAATCTTCCACATTTAAACACAATATTTCTATATGTAGGCAAGAATAAACTGTACAGGCGGCCTGTTTCCTTAATCTTTTTTAGAATGGCTGTTTTTTTCCTTTACAAAGGCTGTTGAATAGTTTAATTTTTAATGCTCTCAGAGGGGTTGCAAAGGTAGAGTGTCCCCCCAGGCAGTAATTTTATCTGCAGGACTTATGCTGAGATCAGGGTAAGGAAAATTTCAGTTGCTCATCTTGACTGATTATAAAGAGAGATAAACATTTGGCTGTTAAAAAGTTAGGTTGCAATCTAATTTTAGGGGTGGTGGAAATGGGAAGATTCTGATTAACATTTTCTGTCATTTTACAGCAAGAAAAGAACTGGAGAATTGCCCTCCCTCCCTGAGAAATATTTGGACAAGATGGCCACGCATTTGAGGCCGGTAAGTTAGTTTATTTCTGCAAAATTACCTTTTTGTGTGTGGGGGGGGGATCTGCTTTTATTTTCGTGCAGGAAGTACTACTCTGAGTAATGGAATGGAGATACTTGTGTTTTTCTCAATGAAATGCCAGATTTTCTCTCACCTGGCTTCCAGGTGGGGTGTCGGTCTCCTGGAATCTGCTTTGTTTGGGCTAGGACCTTGAGATCCATCCCTTTAGTTTGAAATAAGAGTACAGGACAGTCATCCTGATTCAAAATGTTGCTGTGGAGACAACTACATATTGTCTTCTACTTAGATAGCCTACAATTGTGAATTTGCAAATTAGGTATTTTTGCAGCCCAGGTAGGGGCTTAAACTTCTTAAACAGGTAGCTTTTGTTTTCACTAGCTAACTGTGGAAAGATCCTGCAGAGCACTAAGTGCTCCTGACCTAAATCCTTGGTTATGATTTCTGGGATTTTATTTGGAAGCCTATAATCTGAGCTAGCCCTGCAACCACAACTCTTTGCTTCTCAGCTTTGCTCTCTGAGAAGGAAAATTGCATTTCTCCCAAACTTATGTTTTTATATATATATATATTGCACTGAAGGGTATATTTTTTTGTCCTGCACTGGCTGTTATTGGCCTGAGTTCTTGCTTGTTTCTTTCTCTGCTCACAACAAAACTGTTTGCAAAAAAACTGATTGTGATCCCTTTGCATCTGCTTCTTGCAGGCTAATAAAAAATGCACTGTGATTGGTGGCTCAGGATTTCTTGGTCGACATCTGGTAGAGCAGTTGGTGGGAAAAGGCTACTCGGTCAACGTGTTTGACATTTGCAAAGGCTTTGATAACAGCGAGGTGCAGTTTTACCTGGGCAATCTCTGCAAGAAAGAGGTAAGGAACAAACTGAGGTAGATTGACATGGCTCAGGTGTATGGCCAACATGAAGTCTGTTGGTCTTAAGCCCTATTACTGGAGTTGATGAAGGCTGTTTAGGAGTACCAATGGGAATTCTGGGAATTTCCACCCTGTATGTTGGGGGATGTTGCAAAGTTATGTTCTGTCCCCGTTCCGACCCACACACCCAAACAGCCAGCCGAGGGTTTAAAGACTTCTCCAGACACCACTTCACAGATAAGAAACTTGGCAGCAGCTCCGTAGCTGCCTGCCAAGACCTTTTACTCCAAACACACAGAAACAAAAACAATACACACAGTTTAAAACCACAGCACACTACTTTGCCAGAGATTCAGNTTGTCCGTCACAGAAGTCCAAATGGCCACCACCACCCTTTTATAGCCTGTGGGGTGTGGTCCAGTGACTCAGCTTAATCTCTGGCACGTCTCTTTTTCTGCTGCGCATGCTTGTCACTCCTACGCTGGCGTGGATCCAGCCACAACTTCTCTTCCTCATTATCCGACACACCTGGCTCCTGGTCAATCTCAGAACCACCCGGCTCCTGGTCAATCTCTTCTCCGTCGGGAGACACCTGAGGCATTGCCAAAGCGGAGGGTCCTGGAGAGGGAGGCCTAGCCATCTCCTCTCCTTCATGTTTGGAGCCTTCTTCCTCCGATAAGAGGGGCTCACAAGATGGAGCCACAACAAGTTAGGAGAGTCTGCTGTAATTGTGCGTACTAGTTTGACAAGCGTTTCCTACATCTCCTCATGTACTAATTGCTTCCAACAGTTCTCATTTCTGCTGTAAGATACTTTAAGAGCTAAGAGTCTCTGAATAATTGAAATTACCTCTTTAGCTCCAGTCTTAGAGGTTCTTCTAAACTGGCATCTTTCAGCTGAATAGCCCTTAGACTCAATTCCAGATTCTCCAACATTCTTGCTTCTAACTCTCTGGAGGCCTTCATGTAGAAATTGAAGAGGCATCAAACGGAGATGGCCTCACTCAGAGGACTGATGCAACTCGCCAGTTCTATGATTGTATCTCTTCTCCATTGCAGGATCTACTCCCAGCTCTGCAAGGTGTGACCGTGGTGTTTCATTGTGCCTCACCTGCCCCTTCTAGCAACAATCGAGAGCTTTTTTACAGAGTCAATTATTTGGGGACCAAGACAGTCATTGAGGCTTGTAAAGAAGCTGGTGTCCAGGTAAGATTTGAGCAAGAATTTTAAAATGCTAACCCAAACAAGAAGTATCTGCCTGCTGATTCTAAGTTGGAAGCTTTAGCAGTCTAGAATGGGCCTTTTCAAAGTGAGTACTCAGGGGTTCCTTGAGGACTTGAACAGGTCTCACAGGCCTAAGACAGAAAAGAAATTCACTGCAATTGTAGTTGTTATTCGATTTTTTTTTGTTAATCCCACCACCATTTTTACCGGTATGTATAATTCAAGGTGCTGAACATACCCAATATTCCTGCCTTTTATTTTCCTCACAACAGCCCCATGAGATCAGTTGAGCTAAAAAAGAGTCACCCAACTGGCATTCATGCCTAATGGAGGCCTAGAACTCACTGGCTCCTGGTTGCTAGGCCAGCACCTTAGAACTAAGTTCCCCTTTTCCCCCCTAGTCTTTATGGAGAGGTTTCTTCTAATCCCTTGAGTTGTTTTTTCCCTTAGTCACTTTGATACAATGAAAAGGGTGAGCATCATCTGCTGTTTAGAAGGAATCTGTCTTCAATTACTATATTAAATAGATTAAAATAGAGCTGAAAGGGACCTTGGAGGTCTTCTAGTCCAGCCCCCTGCTCAAGCAGGAGAACCTATACTGTCACAGACAGGTGAATGTCTAGTTTCTTCTTAAAAATCTCCAGTGGTGGAGCGCCCACGATTTCTGGAGGCAAGCTGTTCCACTGGTTAATTGTCTTCACTGTCAGGAAGTTTCTCCTTAATTCCAGGTTGCTTCTCTCTTTGATCAGTTTCCAACCATGGTTTCTTGTCTTGCCCTCTGGTGCTTTGGAGAATAACCTGGCCCCCTCTTCTTGGTGGCAGCCCCTCAGATACTAGAATACTGCTATCATGTCTCCCCTATTTCTTCTTTTCTTTAGACTAGCCAAATCCGAGTCCTGCAGCCGTTCTTCGTATGTTTTAGTCTCCAGGCCTTGGATCATCTTAGTTGCTCTTCTCTGAATTTTTTTACAAACTCTCAACATCTTTTTTGTGACATGCTGACCAAAATTGGCTGCAGTATTCGAGGTGTGGTCTCACTAGGGTTTTATAAAGCGGTACTAATACCTTGCGTGATCTTGATTCTATGCCTCTGTTTATACAACCCAGGATTTTGTTAGCCTTTAGTGAAATGTAGTATTAGAAGACAGCTTCAATCTTCATCAAAGCCCTCCTGGTAGACTTTTCAGAAGTAGCTGTTTATATTCAAGAACGACTTGTACAGATAGAGAAGAATGCCAGCTATAGACTTGGATCCAACAAGAATCTTGTATTGCTCTAACTTGATCTGGCAGTCAGTGTGTTTCAATAACTCCTTGGATGTTTTTGCTTTGGCAGAAATTGGTGTTGACCAGCAGTGCCAGTGTTGTCTTTGAAGGTACAGACATCAAGAATGGTACAGAAGATCTCCCTTATGCCAAGAAACCCATCGATTACTATACAGAAACAAAGATTCTGCAGGAGAAGGTCTGGATCTTTTGTGGCTAATGGTGCTTCATTTTGCTCTTGGTGGATCTACATAGGCTTCTTCTTTTCTTATTTTTAGGAGGTGCTAAAAGCCAGCGACCCAGAGAAGAATTTCTTCACCACTGCTATCCGACCACATGGCATATTTGGACCTCGGGACCCTCAGCTGGTTCCAGTTCTCATCCAGGCAGCCAAGAGTGGCAAAATGAAAGTCATCATTGGGTAAATCAAGTTGCATCTACAATGTTCCTCGTGTTCTTTCAGCTTGCTTTTCTTCTTGAGAGATTTCCTGACCAGGCTAGGTAACCTCATCAGTGCATAAGGAAGAGAACAGCCTTAAACACATCCTTCCTCTTCAACACATACTTATTAACCAACACCCAAGATAGGCAGGAACCCATGTTTTGATCAAAAGAAATCAAGGCTGGTAGGACAAGCTACCACCTATAAAAACCCAGCAAATTGCATAAGCCAGGAGTCTCCAAACAACTTCAAGATTTGTGGATTTCAACTCCTAGAATTCCCCTGCCAGGCATGGCTGGCTGGGGAATGATGGGAATTGAAGTCCATAAGTCCTAAACTTGCCATGCTTGGAGACCTCTGGCGTAATTCTGCACCCATGATGCACTCTGGCTGTTAATGGAGCATCTGTTTGAAAGAAAAGCAAGCACCCCAAAATTCAACCCTGAGCTGCTTGTGTTTTTCACTAGTGCAAGTTGATTCTATTTGTGGTTCTTGCAACATTTTGTCCTCTGGAAAGCACACCTGAATCAAGAAATAATTGCCTTTGCTTTGAAATAATTTGCCTTGTGTATTGCACAAGGAATGTTTTGGCTACAGCTTGCGTCTCCGAAATCTTTCCCAACTGAAACAATACATGGCCAATGACTCATTTACTCTTAGTTACTTTCTATTTCACTGTGGTGGCTTTTAACAAGTTTTTTAATTATCCTTAATTTTCTACTGCTCTGTTGAAGCATAAGATTATTGCCAATAGGTTTCATTATTTTATGGTGTAACGTTTGGTGATTTGTTATGACTCGATCATCACAATGCTGTTACTGTTGTTCACTTAATTGTGTTCTTTATCCCATACTTGGAAATTGCTCTCTAAAAAGTATCCTTTAAAAAAAATGATATTGTCTGAGTTAGAAAAGGCAAAGGGAAAAGGAATGAAGGAAAATGTAAACCAAAGAATCAGAAGTGTGAAACAAAGAAAGACAATTCTAGAGCTAAAAGAATCTCATCTCCCATTTAAAGCAGGAAAATTAAGAAGTCCCTTTTCTCTAAAACCATGCAGAGCAAAAAAAAAAAAAGCTTCTCTCATTAAACTCACTAATAATCTCACTTCTGTTCCCTCACAATCCCTGTAGATCTCATAGATCGTTTAATAGATGGTTTAATACTGCCTGAAGCACCAACGAGTTATTTGTTAATGGCGTTTATGCAAGTAATGTTGCATCCAGATGGATCCCCCCCTGTGTTTTACAGTTTGGCTCACGCATTTTATTGTTGGCTGAACTCTTTTTCTCTTCTGCACAGCAACGGGAAGAATTTGGTGGATTTTACCTTTGTGGAAAACGTGGTCCATGGACACATCCTGGCTGCAGAACAGCTTCAAAAGGATTCTCCGTTGTGTGGAAAGGTAAGGCCACTCCATCGTTGCCTTGAAGCTTAGACTTCAAGCAAGCAGCCTTTTTTTAATTCTTAACTCAAGGATCCCTTTTTCAAAAATGAAACCAGGAAAAGGGGAAAGGAACGAAGGAAAATGTAAACCAAAGAAACAGAAGTGTGAACAGACAAAGAAAATTTCTCCTAGACCAGTGGTGGCGAACCTATGGCACGGGTGCCAGAGGCGGCACTCAGAGCCTTCTCTGTGGGCACGCGTGCCATCGCCCCAGTCCCAGGCCTTCAACTGGGTTTTATAAAAACCTTTTCGTTTTAGGCCTCCGCTGCCATGTGCAAAAAAAAAAAAAAAGGTTCAATCAGTCAATTTCAACTTCTTGTCGGAAAAAAAAAGATCTTGCAAAGTTGGAATTGATTGATTGAACTTTTTAGTCCCACCCAGTCTGTCGTTACCACCGCAGCCACGCCCACCCAATTGGCCACACCCAGCCAATGGGCCACACCTACCCAGCACTCGACGATGCATAAGTGGGTTTTGGGTTGCAGTTTGGGCACTCAGTCTCTAAAAGGTTCGCCATCACTGTCCTAGACAAAGGCTAAAGACCTTTATGAAGTTTTCTAGCCAGATGTACCCAGTGGTGGGATTCAGATATGTGAACAACCGGTTCTCTGTGTGGATGCCGCTTCCGGAAGTCCATTCTGGGCCTGGGCAACAAAAAACTAGCTACCGGTTCTGCTGAACTGGTGCGAACCGGCTGAATCCCACCCCTGGATGTACCTCTGAGAGGAGATACTGTACCAAATGCAGCTTTGACCTTGCCAAACAGAAAAGGCTAAAATAATTGGGCTGAACATTTGTAATTGTGAAGGATGGAGCTGCCCTTAACATTCTTAGCTTAACAAGGACCAACAGCGGGAAGCCTTCAAGGTTATCTTTAATGTCTCTCACAAGAGCATCTTCACGTTTCCGCAAGTGAGTCTTAGTGCAGCTCAATCCAACAGGATAAAGTCGAATTGCTCAGATTTTGTGTCATTGATTGAAGAAAATTTGCCTGTCCCTGGTTTAAGGGAGAGGGCCCAACGGGACATAGCCCTTAAGTGCTAAGCTTAGAAGAGGTCCATAGTTGGCCCCACCTACCTCAGGAGAGCGCTGGGTGAGAAAGTTGGAGGAGAGACTTCTATGGACGCCTCCTTTAGCTCCTAAAGGAAAGATGAGGTGTAAGTCAAAGATGTAATTATCTTGTACGGATTGTCTGATCTTCTACCCTGATGTTGCTGGGCGTGTTTCTGGTATGATTAGTTTATTAACTCCCATCCCTCCCTTCTCCCTGTTTGTCTTGCAGGCTTTTCACATCACAAATGATGAGCCCATTCCCTTTTGGGAATTTTTGTCTCGCATCCTCACCGGCCTGCACTATGACCCTCCCAAATACCACATCCCTTACTGGCTAGCGTACTATTTAGCCCTTCTCTTCTCCCTGGTTTTGCTACTGTTGAGTCCCCTGGTTACCATTCATCCCACCTTCACTCCCATGAGGGTTGCCCTCGCTGGGACGTTCCATTATTACAGCTGTGAGCAGGCCAAACGGGACATGGGCTACAAGCCGGTGGTTCGCCTGGATGAAGCCATCGCAAGGACCATCAAGAGTTATTCCCATCTCCAAAGGACCACGTGATGGTCTGAATTCCAACCAGACATCTCCTGAACCTCTTCCATGGATGCTATGTAGGTTCCCTGATTGGTCTTTCCCTTCAGTCTATTTGCCATGGGGAAAAGTCCCACTTTGGAACAACTTCTGAGGTTGAAATACTTTCAATGTCTCCAGAGTAGCTGCTGGCCCAGGATGACCCAGTGTTGTACAGGGGCATCTTTTGATAAAAGCCTTTCAGAAAGGTGCATTGGTTTTGTGGAATTGCTGCTTGATCTACTATCTTCCTTTTCAACGTGTCACTTTTGGGACATAGATTTTCGGGTTTAAGGGCGAGAGGTGGGAACTATCTTGTTTTGAGATTTGTCATTGCAAAAGGAGGAAACGTGCTTGGATTGAGGAGAAACTGAAATGTCTGGTCCAGGGATGTCCAGTCTTGGCAACCTTAAGACTTGTGGACTTCAACTTCCAGAATGCCCCAGCCAACATGGCTTGCTGGAGAATTCCGGGAGTTAGTCCACAGGTCTTTAAAATTGCCAAGGTGGGACACCCATGTTCTAGACTTTGCCCAAAGCCTATCATTTTTGAAGCTTGTTGGATTCTTGGTATTCTTTGGGCTTGCTTCTCTTAATAATAATAATAGTAAAGTTGGAAGAGACCTTGAAGGTCATCAAATCCAACCCCCTGCTCAGGCAGGAAACCCTACACCATTTCGGACAAATGGCTGTCCAGTCTCTTCTTAAATACTTCCAGTGTTGGAGCATTCACCGCTTCTGGAGGCAGGTTGTTCCACTGGCTAATTGTTCTCACTGTCAGGAAGTTTCTCCTTAGTTCTAGATTGCTTCTCTCCTTGATTAGTTTCCACCCGTTGCTTCTTGTCCTGCCTTCAGGCGCTTTGGAGAATAGCTTGACTCCCTCTTCTTTATGGCAACCCCTGAGATATTGGAACACTGCTATCATGTCCCCCCTCGTCCTTCTCTTCATTAAACTTCATCTTCTTACAGATGTTTCATTCTTCTTTATCTGGTGCGGGTTGGCTATGAGCCACCTGACCTAAACACATCCTTTCTTATCTCATACCTATTAATCAACACCCAGATCAATAGGAGACATCAAAGAACTTAAAAAACCCCACCCAAAAATCAATCAAGGAAGGAAAACAAAATAGCCCAATCAAAAACTGGTAGGATCACCCATCACAAATAAACAGCCAGCAAACACTGCCACCATCTCCATGCAGTGATGATGCTATCTAGCTTGGTAATGAAACATCTGCAGAACAGAAGGTCAGAAAACACCCAGAGGCCCACAATTCAACCTTTAACCCCATATACTGTATTCTGCATTATGAAATGTACAGTACATTCTGTAAGTTGAGTCATGACAACTGGATCGATAACTCCAGTTGTCATAACTCAGTTTTCAGACAATTTTACCTGGATAACTGAGAATCTTCACTGATGTACAGTACGGGGTTCCTGATGAAATCTACTTGCTAATTTGTGGGGGGAAGAGCTTATCCTTATAATAAGATTTTTTTGGGGGGGGTTAGTTTTGTATCAACTAAAATGTTTTTTGAAAGTATCCCTTTTTTTACACTATCTCAAATCACATACATCACATAGGTATGGATTAAGATATGAATATTAAAAAGTATTTCTGCTCCTTGGGACTGGTGCAATGGATGGAAGTTACCAAACCTGAAGAAATATCTCCCCGGCTTGAGTGTTCCAATATTTGAAAGGCTGCCACAAAGAAGCAGCAGTCACCCTATTTTCCAAAGCACCAGAAGGCAAAAAAGAAGCAATAGATGGAAACTAATCAAGGAGAGAACCTAGAACTAAGGAGAAATGTCCTGACAGTGAGAACAATAAACCAGTGGAACAGCTTGCCTTCAGGAGTTGTGGGTGCTTCATCACTGGAGGCTTTTAAGAAGAGACCAGATAGGCATTTGTCTGAAATGGTGTAGGGTCTCTTGCTTGAGCAGGGGGTTGGACTAGATACAGGGGTAGGCAACCTTGGCTCTTTTATGACTCGTGGACTTCAACTCCCAGAATTCCTAAGCCAGCATGGCTCAGCTTGGAAACCTCTCCTTGTCCCCTCAGCATGGCTGGCTCAGGAATTCTGGGAGTTGAAGTCCACGAGTCATAAAAGAGCCAAGGTGGCCTTCCCCTGGACTAGAAGATCTCCAGGGTCCCTTCCATCTCTGTTATTCTGTTATCCCTCCAAGCTTCGAAGGTCCACGCTTAAGCTGATAACTCGAGTCTACTGGAGTTGGCAACCAACAAATCTAAATAAAGCTAGAACTGGTCAAAGGAGAGCCAAAATGGGACAAGAGGGGCGATGCGATGCATAGAATTCCTTTCCGCCTTCTCCAATGACTCACAACCCTTGCAATGCACGCTTGTTGGCACACCCTTATGCAGAATGGGTTCAGATGAGGCTTGGCTTTTGTTTTGAAGAATGTGTAATATCTCTGTATTGGCAGGAAATGTCCCCCGGTATTGCTAAACTTCTGAAAAAAGGCAAGGGACAAGATCCAAGGATGAAACCTCCATCATTGCATGTCTAGTTAGGGATCCGCGGTAAGCAGATCCAGTCCTCCCAAGTGGGATACAATGATCTGAGTGGGCAGGAGGCAGTAAAAGGCTACTAGAGGTTATATTTAGAAGGAACGAGTCATGCAGGGCTGAGTTTGTCCCTCTGCCTACCATGATTGTACATTTCAGAAGGCAATTGTATACAGCAGTCCTTGACTTACAAACTTTAATGAGCTTTTGAAGTTGCAACGCCACAGAAAAAAAGCGACTTACGACCATTTTTCACCCAGCTGTTGCAGCATCCCCTTGGTCACATGATCAATAATAATAATAATAATAATAATAATAATAATAATAATAATAATAATAATAATAATAATGGTAAAGTTGGAAGGGACCTTGGAGGTCATCTAGTCCAACCCCCTGCTCAGGCAGGAAACCCTATACCATTTCGGACAAATGGCTGTCCAGTCTTTTCTTAAAAACTTCCAGTGTTGGAGCATTCACCGCTTCTGGAGGCAGGTGGTTCCACTGGTTAATTGTTCTGTCAGGAAGTTTCTCCTTAGTTCTAGGTTGCTTCTCTCCTTGATTAGTTTCCACCCATTGCTTCTTGTCCTGCCTTCAGGCGCTTTGGAGAGTAGCTTGACTCCCTCTTCTTTGGGGCAGCCCCTGAGATATTGGAAGGCTGCTATCATGTCACCCCTCGTCCTTCTCTTCGTTAAACTAGACAGACCCAATTCCAGCAGCCGTTCCTCATATGTTTTAGCCTCCAGTCCCCTAATCATCTTTGTTGTTCTTCTCTGTACTCTTTCTAGAGTCTCAACATCTTTTTTACATCGCGGTGACCAAAACTGGATGCAGTTTTGCTGCAAAACTGGACACTTGGCAACTGACTCGTATTTATGACGGTTGCAGTGCCCCTGGTCATGTGATCACCTTTGGTGATCTGACAAGCAAAGCCAATGGGGAAACCAGATGCACTTAACAACCGGTGACTAACTTAACAACTGCAGTGGTTTGCTTAAACAACTCTGGTGCAAGGAAGGTCGTAGAACGGCAAAACTCAACAACTGTCTCACTTAGCAATAGAAATGTTGGGCTAAATTGTGGCCGTAGGTTGAGGACTGCCTGTACGAGATTGTACCCTGTTCCTATGCTGTCATCTATAAGTGCCTATCAGCGAATAGCTTCAGGTTGATTTGGCTAAGCTCAGAAACTACGCAGAGTGAGACCGGATTAAAACTTGAGTGGGGGACCAGAAAGGTATTCCAGAACAGCAAGCACGACTTGGAATTTGAGCAAGAAAAGCAATTTGAGTTGTTTTGGAAGAACAAGCATGGAAAACCCCTTCCAACTTTCCATAGCAGGGAATATTGGCAGCTCAGGTTGAACAGTTGAATGCGCACACTTCCTTATTGTTGGAAGAGAAAACTCTGTGGACGTATCTTGATTGACCGAAGGCTAGAAGAAAAGTTCCTTCATATGGATGTGTCCAGATAGTCACTAGAAGTCAAACTCAATATAGGGGCTTCATTTTAGAGGTTCTAGAAGCTGTACTTTAGTGCCAGGCTGGAGAAATATTTGGATAGTTTTCATGCAGTATGACAAAAGAAAATTTGCTTTTGAAAATCCATTAAAAAAAAGAAATTCTTGAGTATGGTACATGCATGCTTATTTATTTTATTAGTTTAAATATGTGCCCATCCCACAATTGTGACTCGGGCGTAAACATAGTATTAAAACCAATACAAGCAACAACTAACAGTTTTATAGAGCCAGTACGGCGTAGCAGTTAAGGTGCTGGTTTAGAAAGAAGGAGACAGTGAGTTCTAGTCCCGCCTGAGACATGAAAGTCAGCTGGGTGACTTTGGGCCAATCTGTCTCTCTCTCTCTTTTTCTCACTCCAACTCACCTCACAAGATTGTTGTGGGGAAAACAGGAGGAGGAAGAAGTATTATGTATGTTCACCATCTTCAGTTACTTATAAGGCAAGATAAACATGTAATAAATAAAAAATAACCTAATGACACCTGAGGATGATCTGAGCCAATAAGGTAAACACAGGTTGTACCGAGAGAGAATCTCATTGATGGGGGTCACCCAACCTGGTCTCCATACTTGAGGAATATCCAAATCTTCAAGGAATTATGAAATACCAGCAAGAAGGTCAACCAACATTTGCAGAGATGGTGTTCCAAATGGTCAATGCTGGGACAGAGAAAGCCTATTTCTTAAGCGAGGCCAGGTGGCGTTGTTTCATCAACGGGATCAGGAACACATCCATTCTGCTGGATCTAGTAGGATGAGCAGAAACAAGCAGAGATTAACCTGGTGGAAGCCGTGAAGGGCTGCGGAGATGGTAACCAACACCCTGTTGCTGGTGCTGGTTGCCACGGATGAGAGTGGTATTAAGGCCAGGTCAACCAAGGAATGGATGAAAACCTCCCATCTTTCTTTGCGCAACCATCTCTCTGTAGCCCGCAGCTTCTCTGACTTTTTGTGCTTCCCATAACCTTCGCGACATCAAGAGGGCCGCTTCTTCTAAGGCAGTGGTTCTCAACCTTTTTAATGCCGCGACCGCAACCAGTTGTAAGTCGAGGACTAAACCGGTCGTAAGTCGAGGACTTGACCGGTCGTAAGTCGAGGACTACCCAACCGGTCGTAAGTCGAGGACTTTCCCTGCCCGGGAGCGCCGCGCACGCGTGGTTCCGCCCCTTGCGCCGGCCGAGGCGTATCTGGCAAGCGGCAGAGATGGAGCAGGCCGACCACCAGCTGGCCCAGCCCAAGGGAGGTAAGGCACCCGCCGGAAAAGGGAAAAAAAAATGGCGGCCAAAAAAAATGGCGGCCAAAAAAAATGGTGGACAGCCTTGCTTGGCGACCCCCGTGAAATGGTTGATCGACCCCAAATGGGGTCCCGACCCACAGGTTGAGAACCACTGTTCTAAGGAAACATTTTTGAGTAGCCAAGCTGCAGGCATCATCAAGGGGCACTCTTGCCCTTGAGGAAATTACTGGAAATTACTCTTTCCCCTGGAGAAATGCAGAGAAGTCCTCCACCTGGTTTTTTTCCCCACCCAGAAATGGGATGGAGAATCCTGAGCAATTCTGCTGTGGCCAATGCATTCCTTACGTAATGTATGCATATTATTCTTTGAATGTCTAATGCATTCCATGTGCGTAGCCTTATAATTCTCAAGGCGAACGAACGAGATAGGTCAGGGCTACCTGTACTGTATATGATTGGCAAAAGATGGCCCCAGGCAAGCCAGTTTGGCACCGTAATGCTTCCTAGAGTTCATAATGGAGTCAAAAGGAACTTTCTTATTTCATCATATCTCCCATTTCTTCCCTCGTTCTTTTAAAATGTATTCGCAATCTTTTTCAGCCGGGTTTTTTTTTTTTTTGTGCAAAGGGACACATCGACAAGACTTGCAAACCGGTGGGTTGTAAATGTTCCCTTGGCCCCCCCGTCTTTTAAATTCAAATAGTAAAACTGATGTGCTTTTGTTTTTACCCTTCGGCCTCAATGACGTTAGGAAGACACTAACAATTTGCAATTTTTTTTAAAAAAACGCCTGTAGCCTTCCAAGTGACTAACGCTGGGTTTAACCGTAATCCTGGGGAGGTGTCACAATGCTGAGCAGACTTAAGGGATGCATTAAAGCTGGTGAAAGATAGTTGCAGGCTTCTCCTGGTGAAATCTGCGTGATGTTGAGAAATTCCGAATAGCAGAACAGATTGATGTCATTTTGAAAGCACTGACATTTGCTGGCATCGTTTGGGGCCAGAGACGGTTCTTTGTTCCGAGAAGCAGATAACTCAAAATGTCAATCATCGCTTGCCTTCCTTAGCCAAGAAAAAGGTCTAAATAAACCCTCTCACTCTGTCTCATTTTGTGATTAAACATAAAAAAAGTTCCGACTTAAATAACTATTGATCGCTTTTAAAAATAACAGAAAAAGGAACGAAACAAAAGATAATTATAATACGATACAAATCAAAGAAAAAATACATAAAAACTGAAAAAAAATACAACAAAAAAGGAACAAAGTAGAATATATTATTCCAATAGCTACCGGTTACAATTCTATATATACTTTGCTAATGTAAATATTATTCAAGGACATATATATTAATTTCTAATACATTTACATAACTATCGATCGGGGTTTTTTTTGACCTATGGTATTTTGTATAAATGAGTTCCGTGTTTCATTTTACTTTTGTCCAAACAAAGTCTACTTCTGGATAACTTTAAAATTCAGGGGAATTCAGTGTCAAAAAACACTATAACGATGCTCATGTTTTGGATGAAATCATGCAACTTTGCCTGACTTCCTGAATTTTTCTCGGGTTTAATATTAACCTAGGAGAGAGGATTGTATTGTCTCTTCCACTCACATTTGGTGTGTGTGTGTGTGTGTGTGTGTGTGTGTGTGTGTGTGTGTGTGTGAGAGAGAGAGAGAGAGAGAGAGAGAGAGAGAAACCCATTGGAGAAGCGTATAAAACCCCATTTGATTTTCTTTCATAGAATAGGGGGTGTTGACTTGTCTTTCAATATTATGCCTCTTGTTTGGAGGAAGAATAGTGTAATGTTCGTTCCTGTTGTAAAGTTTAAAGTATTTAGATAACTGGGAGGTTTATATTCATTCATTTATTCAAGTATTAATTCATTCAATTATTCATTCAATTTAGTGGCCGCCTGACTGCCACCAACTCTGGGTGGCTCAGAACAATAGCAGAACATGAAAACAAAAACAACAAAAAGTGGAACCAATACGAAATAACTATAAAATAATTACGAGACGGCATTCCAAACAACAAAGCAACTATATAACATCACATCACAATGGGCCAGGCTTCTGCCTTGTGATTTTCAAATCTTTTCCTTTATGGATGGTTTATTCTCAGGATGGTTTGAAATTTTCTTCCGCATTTCTCTTGCTGCTGTTTGGGCTCCTGATTCTTGGATGTGGTGAAGGATGATGAGGGGACTGGAGGCTAAAACATATAAGGAACGGTTGCTGGAATTGGGTATGTCTAGTTTAATGAAGAGAAGGACGAGGGGGGACATGATAGCAGTCTTCCAATATCTCAGGGGCTGTCCCAAAGAAGAGGGAGTCAAGCTATTCTCCAAAGCGCCTGAAGGCAGGACAAGAAGCAACGGGTGGAAACTAACCAAAGAGAGAAGCAACCTAGAACTAAGGAGAAACTTCCTGACAGTCAGAACAATTAACCAGTGGAACAACCTGCCTCCAGAAGCGGTGAATGCTCCAACACTGGAAGTTTTTAAGAAGAAACCGGACAGCCATTTGTCCGAAATGGTATAGGGTTTCCTGCCTGAGCAAGGGGTTGGACTAGATGACCTCCAAGGTCCCTTCCAACTTTATCATTATTATTATTGTTATTATCTCTGCTAACCTCTTCCGTTGCTCCTACTGATTTTTTTTGCTGCACTTGCTGGACTGAAATCCCCTTGGACAGTGGTGGCGAACCTATGGCACGGGTGCCAGAGGCGGCACTCAGAGCCCTCTTCTGTGGGCACACATGCCGTTGCCCCAGCCTTGCCTCCCCCTGTGACCCCCTCCTCTCCAGCAGCCCCCCTGAAGGAGAGTTGCCCTTGAGCGTGGCCCACACGGAGCAGCGCCACCAGGCAGCGTAGACAAGACTCTGCCCTCACACCCCATCATGCAGTTGATGCTGCAGGACGTGGGCAGAGAGTGTGGCCGCCATAGCACTGCTGGGCTGCCTGGGCGATCTGCGGCGGGCCCTGGAGGCGGTGAGTGGTCCTGTGGGCAGGTGGGGTGGGGGATGGGGGGTGGAGTTTTTGGGCACTCGGTCTCTAAAAGGTTCGCCATCACTGCCCTAAGAGAAAAACTCAACATTATTAATCTTTGCTCGGGATTCCAGAGAAGCCGTGGCTGAACACTGATGAGATAGCTAGAAGGAAACTCTAGGACATTATTCACACCTTGCTCTGGGATGTTTGTAATCTACTAGAATAACAGGTGGAAGGGAACCTTGGAGGTCTTCTAGCTTAACCCCCTCCTCAAGCAGGAGGCCCTAGACTAGGGTTAGGCAACCTTGGCTCTTTTATGACTTGTGGACTTCAACTCCCAGAATTCCTGAGCCAGCATGGCTCAGCTTGGAAACCTCTCCCTTTCCCCTCAGCATGGCTGGCTCAGGAATTCTGGGAGTTGAAGTCCACGAGTCATAAAAGAGCCAAGGTTGCCTACCCCTGCCCTAGACCATTTCAGACAAATCCAGAAAGGCAAGATCGTCACAATGTCCAAGGGATCTTCTACCCTTCCTCCTTCTTCGCAAGACACCTCAAAAGCCAATCCCAAAGGTGCTTTTTCCGGAGGCAACGTCTCTTTGAAGACCTTTCACTTCTCATCCAAGAAGCTTCTTCCAAGAGAAGAAAGAAAGTCCAGTTGACCTTTGAGACAACCCTGCCCTGGATGGCTGAGAATCTCCACAGACACTCAAAAGCCAATCTGTTTCCGAAGAAACCGAATGAGGACTGGCAGGCTGACAATGCAGAGGAATTTTTGGCACGGCTCATCCGTCTCAGTCATTGGGCGATTGTGCTACTGCGATAGGCAAAAGGTGAGAGTTGATTTTTCTGGGCAAGTTAGATGCTGGGGGAGGGTGCTTGGCTTCTGGCATCCCTAATGCCTGACCTGTCAGCCTTGCCCACAGCCAAGACCTCAGCTACCACTTGCTGTCTTTTCTCCTCTGGCCCAGGACGTCTGCAGGGACACAGGGCAGAGAATGCAAAGAATGTGGAAGGGAGAGGCTGAAGCAGAGAGGGAGGGGGGACTCTCTCTCTTGTTCTCTCCCTCTCCTGTGCCTGGGATGTAGGAACCTGTTTGGTGCCCTGCAGGGTAGAAGCACCCTCCCATTTTGTCAGCCTTCCCTCCCATAACAAGGCTGGGCCCCAACCTGAGATCTTGGGAGCTTTGCCCACACACTGCCCTCCCTGCAGATCCGCTCACGCCAACCGAGGGTGCAGGCTGTTGTAGGCTTTAAGTAAGGTATCCCCGCAGAAGGAAATCCCCGGTGCTGCTTCTCCTGTGCAAGTGTCCCAAGTAAGTCTCCTTTGGTTCTGCTGGGCAGGCACAATCCTTTGGGGAAACAGGAGAAGGGAGTCTGCTTTTTTTTTCTGTAAGCTTATCCAGGGTTAAAGGTTGCGCTCTGCCCTAAACTGTTCAGGCTTTTGGGCCAGATGTGGGTAGCCTAAGTTGGGATGAGGAGGAAGGACCGAGAAAGATGGCTTTGCAGTCCCCATCTCCTTTTTTCCCCCTCTCCTCTTACAACCCTCTCAACTGTTTCCCATTTTCTCACGCCCTATCGATGAAGTAATGAGCAATTACACTGATCTGGTTTGACGTAAGGGAAATGAAAGGATTGATTTGTGATAAGAATAGGTACAGTATGTATGAATTGCTTTTTTCCCTGACCAGTGCTGTACAGTATTTTTCTTCCTGGCTGCTCCATGCGTCCAGAATAGTGTTCACAGTGGTCTTTTAAGGTAGAAGAGTTCTGGAAAAGAGTTTTCCAAGGAGTGTCCCCCACGGCTCTTACACACTCTTTATACTCTGAAGTGGGCAGAGTTTTAAAACAAGGTCAATTGCTGGTGATTTGGAAAAAAAAACATCACTCTTTGCCCCCCTTTTGCTGTTTTTTTTTTAATTGAAAATTTTATAAAAGTTTTACAATGTAATTCCCCCCCCTCCCCAGAACCCACCCTTCCCCTCCCCCCTCCCTCCCCCCCCCACTTCCCAGAGCCAATCACAGGGTTAACAATACAATAACCATACTCTATCTAACATTAATCA